AGGGAAAGAAATTACATTTCAATATTCGTATGAAATATTATATATTGTTATGAAAATCTTGTCAATTATTACTCCCATTATTACACTTCTTTTTTCATTACATTGTACCCAAAAAACATTAATATGCTAATTATATTTAGTTTAGATACATTATATATAATGAGAAAACCTGTTTATCACACATTTTACACACATTTTGCATAAAGAAAAATGGTATATCAAATCATTCTGTTATAACGTAGTTGAGAATTATCTTTGTACAAACTTTGGTAAAAAAATAAATAAAAATCCTGAAAACTAAAAATGTATTGGTGATTTAAAAAAATCAATTGTTTTTGCTTATGCATGTTCATTCATGTCTTTTTTATTTTTATTTTTTAATTGAGTCCCGATGTCCATACCAAGGACGTAGCATAACTTGTGAAATATCATTTTTAATTAAAAAATAAACAATGAAATGACATGAAAAAATACTAATTTCTTCCTAAAATATTTTGCCGGGTCTCAAGAGGCTAATGTAATGTAATCATGCAACAATACATATTACTGTTATAGTTTTCATTAATAATCATTGCTATATAGATGATAACTTTGTCTAGTGCTCTTATGATTTTTTTTAGCATGATTTGTAAAAATGTAACTATACTGAATGACACAGCAGTGTTTGCATAGGCTATTTAATTTCATTCTGTAACCTGCTTGTTCCACAGATCTAGTATTTTGGCAGTGTCGATAACGTTTCTGACAGATAATATTATATGGAAGCAGATTAGACTCAATAATAATTCACGCAAAAGACACGATGCACACATGCATATCCCAATTCACATGCATGAACCCCAATCCACGTGCACGAAAATTATATATATTAGGGTGACCATACGTCCTCTTTTCCCCGGACATGTCCTCTTTTTGGACCTAAAAAATGCGTCTGGACGGATTTCTTAATGGCCCAAAATGTCCGGGATTTGGCTGTTTTCTTAATCTCGCTCCAGTTGAATCTCTGCCATTGCCGCCTGCTCCCGCGATTTTCGTGTTCACTCCTTTAATACGCACTCTGTGTAAAGGGAGCACATCTTACTAGATCAAATATTTGTTAATGAGTTTAGGATCTGTTGAGCAGCAAATACTCCAGCATAGTCTTGTCAGTCATCTCTCTTTATTCTCGACCTGTGATCAGTCAAAGCTGACTCCTGCAGCTCTTGTTGGATGCGGGGTTGCCAAGTCCTCGATTTTCCCACAGAATTGGGCAACTTTTAAACTGTTGCCATGGGTTGATTTTCCCAAGTGGGTTAAAGGGTTGAAATATTGCATAAATTACATTTGACTGAAATGCTTGTATTGAAACATTTTGCATTCTACCTATGATAAAACTTTCATGGACTTCTACATTAACTGTTCCCTCCTGGTGGAATGACCTGCCCAGCTCAATCCAAGCAGCTGAGTCCTTAATATTTTCAAGAAACGGCTGAAAACACATCTCTTTCATCTCCATTTGACCCTCTAACTCAGGGGTGTCCAAACTCAGTCCTGGCATTTGGAAAAGCTGTGCTTCCTGCATAAACCTGCCCCTGTTGGTTTGGCAGTAGCTTGCTTGCCCTACACCAGGGCTGTCCAAACTCGGTCCTGGAGTACCGGTGTCCTGCAGAGTTTATATCCAACTTGCCTCAACACACCTGACTGGAAGTTTCTATGCCTAGTAAGAGCTTGATTAGCTGGTTCAGGTGTGTTTAATTAGGGTTGGAGCTAAACTCTGCAGGACACCAGCCCTCCAGGACCGAGTTTGGACAGCCCTGCTCTAACTCTAGCACTCTCTATTATAATGCTAATTCTAATTTTATGTGCTTGTTTTTTTATTAAAAAAATTGACCCTCTAACATTTGCAGTCTCTATTTTATTTCTATTGTACTTGTTTTATTTAAAAAGAAAAAAAAGAGCCTTTAAAGTCCCCATGAAATCTAAATTACAGTTTTTTGGGTGTTAGTATCAATATGTTAGTCTTAAGGTTAAGGCAGTGTGCTCCAAAACAGTGACAAAATTCGCATTTAGAAGATATAAGCATTCAAAGCTTGCAGTTCATCACTTCTGCCAAAACGGCTCAACGATATTTTTGATGTCACATCGTACTTCAGCTTCTCATCAAATTTTCTGTCCAATTAAATGCTCTCTAGAATCTGAAATGTCCCGCCCCCTACACTATAAATAGACGCTGAAACTGCGGCTGAAATAGGTCACTTGTTCACAGAATTGGTATTTTCTTTATGCTAAATGGCATGTAGTGCACTATATGGGGGATAAGGAATGATTCAGACAGTGTAAATATGCTTTCCATTGGGTCGAAAGAAGTCTGGTTTTGCATTGTGTCCAGGGAACGATTCAGTGTAAATATGCTTTCCATTGAGGAAAAAAAAAAGAAATCTGGTTTCGCGCTGTGTCACGCTAACCACCGCACGGCACACACACACTGCTCCGGTCCAGAGACACAACAGCACGGAGCGGACCACATGCGTGAGTCGGCGCAGACCACAAAATGTATCGGAGCTATTTGAATTCTACACAGAATGCTATATTTTATAGCAATATGGATGAGATTGTGGCTGGCATACCCTGTCAAATGCGGCTTTACGGAGCTCAACGGCTCTGAACGGCTCTAGCCCAAGCTGTGATATAAACGAACGCTATTGGCTATTGTAAAAAGGGGCGGGGCTGCTTGATATGTCCCGCCCTGTCTTCCTGTTTCAGTTAAAATTGTCAACACAGTGTGCTGCGTGTTTCTAAGCATTTCAGGGGACCTTTAACACTAGCATTGTCTATTCTTTTTCTATTCTATCTACTTGTTTTCTTTTTATCTATTATAAAAACAAAACAAGCAAACAAACACACACACACACACAAACTTGATATGTATACTTTTAGGCGATGTAAATATATAGTTAGAGCACCCTCACTAATTTAAGAAGCACCCTCAGTGATTTGATTCTGGAGCCGGGCCTGTTTGTATGGACAATAAGCTTTCTTTTTTATTTCCTTGGCAGAACAAAGTCAAATGTATGTATGTATATATCACTTGTTTAAAATGAATAAATAAGAAATAAAAAAAATATATATCGATTGCACGCACCAAAGAATTTGTGGAAGATTACATATTTTAGAATTATACATCATAAATCTCTTTAACCCGCTAGTGACTGTAATGTGTCAGGCCAGCCTTCCGCGCGCTGCAGTGACGTTTGCATCCGCGAGAGTGACTGGAGTCTGAGCGCGCGGCGGAGCGGCGGGACACGGTGAGTGAACTGTTAACGAATCCCCGAACCACCGCGACCCGGCACGGTCATTCACAGTTACATTCACAAGCTCGCGCACTATACAGCGAGCGCCGGGTTTGGGAGGAAGGTCGCTCAACAAAACTTGGCGTAATGAACATGCTAAGGTGCTACCGCGAGCTAATGAGGCGCAGGCCGGCTGACTGAGCAGAATTACCCCCGCACAGCAGCGCTGCTGCCCTTCGGAGTTCACAGGAAACACCGGTGCGTTTACAGGCCGCGGTCTCCTGCGAGCAGACGAAAACAAACACCTGTCCGCATGTTAAAAGTGAAATATTTGATCTGTGCGCGTTAAATGGGATTACTATGTGCTGGTTAACAAGTTAAATTCTGTGTGTTTGTATTTAACCTGCGTTTTGATTTACATATGAACTCCCAGTGTCCACATTGGCATACAATCTCACTCGACAAGTGACCAAAATGACATTACAGCTGGTAGTATAGAGGAATGCTTCGTGCAGATTGGATCCCACAGCTGTAGAGGAGATGTAACGTTAGTCTTGTGTCATGTTATAATTACAGTCCTGGTGACACCGTAATGTTATTGAACCGTCTATGGGAGACAGTGGTCATCTGTACACCTGTTGCAATGGTTTTATCTGTATTTGTGATATTTAGTTTAACCTGATGACATTTAAAGGTGTAATCAGAAAAAAACTAATAGATTGATATTCACTGGTTTGGAGAATGGCACAGTCTTGTCTTAGATTTCCTTTGGAATCGTTCTTAATTTACCCATGGCTTTTCCTTATTTTTATTTTTATTTTTGAAGTTTATAAGTTAATCTCAATCACTGAAAATATTGCTGTACATACTATTAACTGATTTGCTTATTTACTGAACAAAATGGGATCTTAGGATGGTCGGATAGGATGACAAGGCAGTCATTCTTCTCCTCCAGCGACCTGCCACTCATATGAGATTGCAGCAATTAGGAAACGACAACAATTCAATCAATTCCAGATGGACAAAATCAAGTTCTGCCTTACATTTTCCTCATTCAAGAAGCTGTTTTTTTTTATCTGATATGCATCACATTCACAATAGAAGAGGAAAGACGTTCACAATCACAATTTTCATTTCATGCTAATTTTAACTTTCCTCAGTGTTCAGAAAGTTTTAATTGAGCCACTTTTTTCTAGATTTAGTTTCTTCAGGCTGAATGAACTGGTGCATTAGCATAGCTTCAGTTGGATCTGCATGCAGTAGATAAGCTGTTTGCTTGGTCATTTGAATGCATTTGCATCCTTGATCAGAGTGGAATTTAAAGTGCACTCTGAATGACCTCAAATAGCCCTGTAAAACATACAGCTGTAGTGATGGTGCTTTAAAGGAAACTAGTTTAAATAAACAATTCATCAGTTTTTTTTTTAACCATGCAAACTTTATAACTAAAGCATGCTAACTCGGCATGAAACTAAAGTTGTGGAAGTCTTTTCTTTAGTATTGTGAGGGTGGGGCTTGACATTTTCTATCTGGAAATCGTTGGTCATGTGATTGATGGGTTGATGGAAGGGGCGGGAGGATCATTGCCCCATCACGCTGACATACATGTAATCAGAGAAAATAATTTAGATTTTAAAGTAACTTCAGAGCAACACTAAAAAAAAAAGTGTAGATTTAAAATAATGTAGGCGACAAGGCGCTGTATACCTAGTAAGCCATGAAAATCTTTGAAAAAGTGGTATAAATATTGTTAACATTTATGGTTCTGGAAACCTCAGTGTGCTGCTAACCATGTCCTCAGAAAACCAAAAACCTGTTTTAAGCTTCAAACCTTGCACTGATGAATGATAAGTGTGCGTGTGTGCTGTGATTGAATCTTACAGGCCTCAACAGAGAGACCCACCATGCGTGAATATAAGCTTGTGGTCCTGGGCTCTGGAGGCGTGGGGAAGTCTGCACTGGTAACTTCAGTATTTTTAAAGTCTACACATTACTGTATTATAAATGGGCATTGTATACAGTATTTGTAGTGTTTTTCTCTCTAGTCTGTAGTATTTATTCAGGTCTTTATTTGTATTGAATGTGATTCTGGTCTTTTACAGACAGTTCAGTTTGTACAGGGAATATTTGTTGAAAAATATGATCCCACAATAGAAGACTCATATAGAAAGGTAAGTAAACCATTTTGGTATAGCTGAATTAATACAACATATAGGGAAATGTGTTAATGCAGTACTGACACCCTCTCTCTGTTTTTTTTTTTTTTTATTTTGTTAGTGCACATTGCTAGTCTTAAAAGGCACCTATTATGCCCCTTTTTACAAGATATAATATTAGACTTGGGTGTCCCCAGAATGTTTGTGAAGTTTCAGCCCAAAATACCCAACAGATCATTTATAAGAGCTGGAATATGTCATTTTTGGGGTCTGTCTAAAAAAAGAGTGTTTGGAGTGTATCGCTTTAAATGCAAATGAGCTGCATATTCCCGCCCTCTCTCCAGAAGAGGGCATCGCGTATATGTCTCTCTGCATTGCATATCTACAGCAATAAACAGCCGGTAGAAGCAACATAACTGAGAGCAAGAGAACCGGTGTTAAGCCGTACATATGGGAAGCCAGATGCACTGAAAGTGGGACGAAACAGCCCAAAACAGAGCTCGCGCCGCGCTGACCTCATCGGCGCAGATCAATGGACCAAGCCGCGCTACTGAACGAATCTCGTGCTACGAACGGCGCAAACTAATCTCACAAGCGCGGCACTGATCAGATAAAAAATACTTAATGGACGCACACAAATGTGGTTAAACGGCTAAGCACTATAACAACATGACATTCACAAAGGAATCTGGAGTGGTACACGTATTTAGATAGATTTTGAGGCTCATTAACTTGAAAAATGAAAGTAATCCACAGCGTCCTCAGCAGCTCAGAAGTTGGGAGAAAATGAAGACTTATGTTCAGTCTTACATCAAAACACAGAGCATCGGGATTGCTTGCGAGACATTGTTGACGTTACAGCTGCTGGAGCGCAGTGAAAATGTAGGACAGAGTACAAACACTGAGGGCGGAAACTATAGCAGTGCAGGGCTGTCAATCAAACCCCGTGGCCCGGCCCTATGCAGTGTGACGTCACACTGCATGAGAATCAAAACGGCAGGCCTAGTGAGACTGACTTAGTTTAAAGGGGATTAAAAAATCACTGCAGGCACAGTGAGTTTAATCTGATGCATGAACTCAACTGGCCAATTAGTTCATTAGTCTTCAATGTGAACTCATTAGATTATTGATTGTTTGCCTACAGGAGCAGTTCACAGCGATGCGGGACCTGTACATGAAGAACGGGCAGGGTTTCGCTCTGGTTTACTCCATCACAGCACAGTCCACCTTTAATGACCTGCAGGACCTACGGGAGCAGATTCTGAGAGTGAAGGACACAGAGGATGTGAGTCGCTTTGAATAATAATACATTAACTATATTATTATTAGTGGTGTTTGCTTTGGCAAATCACAAATCATTATTTTTTAAATAATATTTTTTTTTATTTTGTGGAAAAAAAAAAAACCCATCATGAACTGACATCAGCTATAGCAAGTTCTAACCAGCAAAGGGAAAACAAATAAAGCACAAAACTTATTTGATTTTACTGAGGCAAGAGCTTTGAGACAAATTTGCAGAAGCTGTATTCACACTGTACACCACACTGATTCACCAGAGTACCCACTTTCTTTATTTACAGACCTTATTTACAGCTCATCAGGCATTGCAGTTTCAGTTCTCTAAGCATTAAGCATATATATATATATATATAAAAAAAATACCATGTAAAAGTGGATTTTGCATAATAGGTGCCCTTTAAAGTCAACAATTAATCAGTGCAAGTTAATCCTCTGAAAATTTTTTTTGTCTTGGTAATCTTTAATCAAAATCTGATAATTTACTTCCACTCTGGAATGTAATGCCTTCTCTGATGACGTCAGTTTGACTGCTTGGGCCATGGCTTGGGCAGAATTTGCTTAACCACGCCCCTCCAACCGTTTAGTTTGCTGCGAGTGAGAGATGAGAGAAGGAGCGCAAAAATAAAACTCCGCGTTCTACTCAATATTCCGTTTCGGTTGGAAATACGTCACCATACTGAAATCCAGTTGGCAGTAACTTCTGGTTTACGCAGACTTTAATTGTATTTAATTTTATTGGTCTCTTGCGCTCACCAAGACTGCATTTATTTGATATATTTTAAGATGTAATTTGTGACCCTGGACCACAAAACCAGTCATAAGTAGCATGGGTATATTTGTAGCAATAGCCAACAATACATTGTATGGGTCAAAATTATCGAGTTTTCTTTTTATGCCAAAAATCATTAGGCTATTAAGTAAAGATCATGTTACATGGAGATATTTTGTAAATGACCTACCGTAAATATATCAAAGCTTAATTTTTGATTAGTAATCTGCATTACTAAGAACTTAATTTGGGCAACTTTAAAGGCGATTTTCTCAACATTTTGATTTTTTTGCACCCTCAGATTCCAGATGTTCAAATAGTTGCATCTCGGCCAAATATGGTCATATCCTAACAGACCACATATTACAGTTTTTCTGAATTGCTAAAACACTAAACTCCATTCTCTGAACCAAATTCTCACTAGTGTAAACCAATTTGTCGAATAAAGCACTCTTTCTGCTAAACCTTAAACACGTTCAGGCAGTTAGACTCTATTTGCAAATCTCATGCACTCTTTTTTGCAAAACTCTAAACACATTCTCATTCACTTAAACACTTATCACACTGTGATGCATTTGTGCTGCAAAATGCTAAACACAAGTGGCAAAAGTTAAACACAACTAAAGCACAGTTGTTATTGTTTACACACAACGATTTCAAAATTGTTCACACTTGTTTCTAATGATGTGATCAAACCAACTGTACAAAATATGAGCCAGCTCAGAGAGAGAGTGTTATCAAGGCTGGATCTGTCAGACCAGAGGGCTTTTGCTCTTTGTCTAGAAAAAAGACAACATTACTTGTGATGTGGACAAAGTCCTCAGGCCGGACTCAAGCACAAAGACATGATGCTGAGACAGAATGAATCTCTCATTGACCCTGATTTTACAGTTGCACAACTTACAGTATTTGAGTGAACTGTAACATGCTATTCATTTAGAGTTTTATTTGACCTTTTTGGCCTTTGCAGTTGAACTGCAGTATTTTTCCAGTATCCAAGTGCTGAATATATACAAACATTCCCTACTACAGTATTCAATATTCAGCACAATACTATTCTTGCAGTACATACAGTAGGCTTATACAATATATTCACCTTACTCAGTTGCAATTACTATACTTTTTTACAGAATTGCAAAATTGTTTACTCAATGCAATACACTTTTTTTCTGTAATGATCTGGATGCTGTGTTCTCCATTTTTCTCTGTAGTGTCTAATGAATGCTCTGTAGTGTTTTCTTTATTGACTCGTGTGTGTGATCTGAGAGCAAGTGATCTGAAATGCAAGTGTTTGATTTTTGAGTGTAAGTGAAATGGTTTTGCAGTGATTGTTTGATTTTGATGGAAGAGTCAGGTTTCGTGAATTTAGTTTGAGTATTTGGATTTGTGTTTAAGGTTTTGAGAAAATGAGTGATGGTTTCAAGAAATGTTTTAGCAATTCAGAAAAACTGTAATGGAAAGCTTATTTATCATCTTTTTAGATGATGTACAATTTCAAAAGATTTCCCCTTATGACTGGTTTTGTGGTCCCGGGTCACAGCTAGTCCAGTCATAGCAAAACAGAATTTTCAGCGGCCATTACTTTAGTCTTCAGTGTCACATGATCCTTCAGAAATCAGTCTAATATGTTGGTAATCAAGAAACATTTCTTGTTATTATCAGTGTTGAAACAGTTGCTCTGCTTAATTTTTATTGTGAAAATTGTGATACTTTTTTTTTTCAAGATCCTTTGAATAGAGAGGATCCTTTCCAAAGAACAGCTTTTATTTGAAATGGAAATCTTTTGTAGCATTTTAAACAACTTTACTGCCAATTTACTGCATCCTTGCTGAATAAAATCATTAATTTCTTTTTTTTTAAATTGCATTGACCACAAACATTTGAACAGTAATGTGTATATGAATCCATGTTACATGAGCACGGGATATGGTTTGTGCCTCTAAATAAGATGCTGATCTTTTAAAAATCAATCTAGCTAAAATCAAAGCCATGTTTCTTTGAACTCTCAGTGAGTGTGGTTTCTAATCTAAGCCAGATGCAAACAGTACATGCACTCATCAGATGTCTCTCTCTGTTTGTATAGGTGCCAATGATCTTGGTTGGGAATAAGTGTGATTTAGAGGATGAGAGGGTGGTTGGGAAGGAGCAGGGTCAGAATTTTGCTCGTCAGTGGAGTAATTGTGCCTTTCTAGAATCTTCTGCCAAATCAAAGATCAACGTCAATGAGGTGAGTCACAGTTAAAAAAAACACATGCACCAGGTCACACAAAGACAGTCCTCTAATGAAAGTCCTTGGTGTTTTTGTCTGTGTGTATCAGATCTTTTATGACCTGGTAAGACAGATAAACAGAAAGACGCCGGTGGAGAAGAAGAGAGCGAAAAAGAAGTCAAACTGCATCCTGCTGTAACACAACTGCATCACTGCAGCAGCTCTGAGCCAGGTAGTCGATCAGAAGTTCATTAGGAATCAGTACATGCGCTATTAAGAACTCCTTTCATCCATGATCAATAATAGAGATTTCACCCTGTGTGTGTTTTTTTTTTTTGCATCAGCGATATCTACTAGGGATCCTCAAAATACCGGTTATTGAATGATAAATGCTTGATTAAATGGTTAAAAGCCTTTTTCTAATTGTTTTAATGTTACAGAGACCACCACGTGTATGTTAAAAGATCAATGAAAATTAGATTTTTAAATAAATGTATTTCATATTGATGTGGTGTTTTGTGTATTTCTAGATTACCATTCCTCACCAACATAGACCATTATACAGATACAGTGTTTCAGTGTGGCTCACTTTATGTACTGTAGTTACAAATATAGCACAAAGCCATATAAATAATTTCACTTATCTTACATTTTTCTACAAAGCTCTTTGCAGATATGGAATGCAACAAACATAGGGGATTTATACTTGCTGCACACCAGATTACATGCTGCATTAATTGCAAAAAAAAGTGTCTTGATTCATAAACATTCATGATTAGGCGTGACAAAAGCAGATTTTCTTGATGCATAACACTTGAGTGGAATATCCCTTTTTAAAATTTACTCGTATAGGCTTGCAGGAACTTTAAATAGATTTTTTTTTTTACTTTAAAACAGTATCCCACATCACATCATGTATTAAATAGCTCTGAGAACAGGTATACAGACTATCGCAGGACCCACAGGCATGTATTTATTACAAATAACATGAAGGTGCTGATAAAAAAGGCAGGTATTTACATTTGCTCAGTTTTCATTTTTTGCATGAGTTTAGCATCATTGCATAGTTTTTCTGTCCAGTACAAAGCAGGTTTATGCTTGCAAAGCTAAGACAAGAGTAAGACATTTGTGAAAAAGCACCAGTCAGGACTTTTTAATAGAATGATTGACAGTTAGGCCTAAACCTAAACAGATGGATACAAACATCAGCAGAAACAGCATTAGGCTCTCAAGGGACCTCACAGAAGCAGTAGGGCAACACAGTGTGACTGTATTCATGTTTTTCCTGTTTGCTTCACTCTGCCATGCTTACATCTCAAAAAACAAAACAAAACAACAACAAAAAACATACAAATGCATTCCAGCAATGTTTACCTAACAAATCTTTGGAATCAATAGCTTCTGGAGTGCTACTCCTCTCACTTGAGGAAGAAGGACAATATTACCTCAACATCGCAATCTGTAGTGGTGTTTACCGCTTAACTTTTACGGTTTGCTTCACATTCAGTTGTGAATCTTGTGATACCTGATGAAGTGATAGAAATTAATGTTTTTCATAGTTCTGAATTCAGATTTAGTTATTTGTGTTTGTAGTTCACAATATAATTATTTTGTTTAGACTACTTCCATATTACTGTATGTTTTTGACTTGAATATGAGATGTTGCAATAACGAATGGCCGACCAGGTGCACTTAAGGGTAGCATCATGTTACAACAATTTTGATCATAAAGTCCACTAATTATGTCTAACAATATGTGTAACAGTGTCTTCTATGTAGAACTATATCAGACCCACACAGCTGAGCTGTAATCAAACACAGATGGACGTTTCTCTACGATCTCCACCCATCCTATCAAACCCTCTGAGCCCTGATAAGCCACGCCCTCTTGTTGGCTGGGTGTGGTTTTCTTCTTCATTCCTCTTGTTCTCACCCAGAATGGCTTGCTGACATCTGATTTTGGCTTTCTGCATGTGATCTTTGGTTGTTTACAGACATCCATTCCTTCGCTTTCTTGGTGGTGCCGTGGCCAAACGCGGCGTAGGACCCGTTTGAAGATGCTAGCTGTTAGTGAGAGTTTCCTGGAGAGATCTTGAGAGTGACTGCTAGATGATGACTCTTTCACCTGCTCCTCACCTGCTGTCTGGCCTCCAACATCAGGCAGGTCCAGCCAGTTTCCGACCAAATCAGCAAAAACATTGTCGCCCAATACCAATGGCTGTCTGTTTCTACTATGGTTCATCAATGAGGCTGTCCAATCAGTGGAGTCATCAATATCGTATGAGGAGAAATTGTTGTCGGTTGTGTCTTCCTGAGAGGAAAAAGAGGAAGAAGTGCTTAGACTTCCTCCGTAAACCCTCCTGGGTTCGTGTACCCTGGGAATACGGCGGTTCTCTGCTGGAGAACTAGTGAGGAACAAAGGCGGTTCCATGGTAAGCTCAGTCTGGAAACATTCTTGTGAAAGAATTTCTTCTGGATTCTGTGTTCGGTTCCGGTGGGTTATTCTTGAACTGTAGTTTATCTGATCGAGCATTGTGCGAGTGTATGAAGAGGCCTGGCTCGTTTTACTGGAGAACTCCAGCTCCTCCAGTGCAGTCTGGACCTGCAAGAGTTTGAGCTCCTGGAGAGCGCCGATCACAGAATTCATCTGAGCTTGGAGACCCTCATCCGACTGCCACAAAGAATCCTATAATGGGAAAGGCAAGAGAGCAATTACTATGACATAATGACGCTATTATCAGTGATATCTGTTGTGACTGATGAGTAACGCTTATCTCACACTCACTTCACAGTAATTATCAAAAATCAATATTACACCAAACAGTCTCCATTTTCTGCCCAGTGTGTCATCACAGATACCTGGCTCAGCATCTGCTTCAAGAGAATGCAGATGTTTTTGTCCTTGTCACATCCTCCAATGAATTGCTTACTTGGAGGATTAAGACATGATTTTCTTTAAAGCTGCTTTGAAACTACTGTTAAAAAAACTGTGGTCAGTGAGATTTATTTTTTAAAGAAACCAATACTTTTATTAAGCAAGGATGCATTACATTGATCAAAAGTGACAATCTAGACTTTCATGTAACTATAAACATTTCAAATAAATGCTGTCCTTTTGATCTTTCTATTTACCAAAGAATCCTCACGGTTTACACATTGAGCAGCACAACTGTTTTCAACATTAAAAATGATAATAAAAAATGTTTACTGAGCATCAAACCAGCATATTATAATTATTTCCGAGGGATCATGTTTTATTGCATGTTTATTAATGTTATTGTTTGACAATTATGAATATATAAAGTTGTATGCATACCTACAAATTGTAAAATAGGTTGTTACAACATAGTTTTTTTTAAATGTTAACATTCCCTAGACAGAAAAGCATAATGCATGTCTTTATACATAGTTATGAGCCAAAATCTTTATATCAACTTTTGATATCCCATACTGTATGGAGTATTTGCTTAGTTATATTTATTATTCATTGTATTAAATAATAAGTTGTATTTATTAGTATTTATTATAATTGAATACATTCAAGCAAATTCCATCTCTATACACTACAAAAATGCCCTTTTTCTTCTATTACTGAATAAAACCACTGTCATCTTACCTTCTTTCACCCTGCAGTCGCTCTGTTTCCCTATCTTTCCTTCTCTTGTCTCACTCCCTGTTTTCTGTTTCTTCTCTCCCTTACAAGTGTGATCGATCACCAGCCAGTCTGAGCACAGCAGCACACCACTGATGCTTTTCTACAGTAGTGTTGTGTCTCAAGGCATGATGGGAGATGTAGGAGCTCATGGGCATGTGGGTGAAATGACTAGACTGTGAGTCATGGGCGAACAGCTGAGGCATGTATTTTATTGGGTTGGTCATAAATGCAGGTGTAGGGTAACGTAGAGCTTAACTTGTACTTGAAACATTCCATTCACTCTGAACTGGATATTCAAATAGGATGTTATATTGGCTGCTTATGTAGGCAGTAGAGCCATAATGTCATCATAAAAGTCACTTTTACAATGAGAACTCAGTTTAAAGAGGCAAATTATAGCAACTAATCTTGTATGTCTATAACTTGCCCTGTTTGCTAGTTGTGGCATGTTTCGTGTTCACTATTTCATCAGATTCAGCCGTAGGTCCTATTTCTCATTTTGGGATGTCACTGACTTCTCCTGTGTCAGTTTCCGGTGGGATGTGCCCAGACGGACAGCAGTATTAATCAGACATCACTGATCCCACCACCAAGTGATTGATGTTGTGAGTAACATCCTTGTGGCCCTGTTTCCTCATTTGGCAAGCACCTATTTTCTCTCGCTCGTTCATTTTCAGTCTCAACCATACAAATAAAGGTTATTTAAATATAAATTAATGAATAAATAAGAAAGAAATTTTTCTGTCATAAGGGTTTATTGCAGGTTTCTTCTACAGCAATGCTGGATGTGTTCACTGATCTATACAGTCAAACCAAAATTTATTCAGACACCTTCAACATTTCTCATATTATCACAGTTTATTATATAATTTAGAAAATGGTAATAAAATATGACAAGAACTCTGAGTTAAACTGTGTCAGAACAAATTCATCTTGATAATGTCAGATAACTTTGATAGAAAGGAATGTAATGAATTAGGTTGAATAGCTGTCAGCTGTTCATTTTAAGTACACACTTAGATAATACCAATTTAGGTCATCCAGTTACCAAGCAATGCTTAATTTTGTTCAGTATGTGGTGTAAAACGGTCGCATTAGCAATAATAAAAAAAAACACTTAAGCAAAACATGGTCAGGTCAAAGTGTCTGAATAATTTTTGGTCCCAAATTTTGTTCAATTTTACTGGTAGTCCACTGTATGAATAATTTTTGGGTATAACAAGTCACAGTTTACTTTATTTTGCTATCCTCACTTACATAAATTAACTATAGCGTCCTGCACCCACTAGTATAAAAATATTTAAAAAATTATTTCTGGTGTCTGAATAATTTTTGGTTTGACTGTATAATGTATATTACATATATAGTGTTCTCTATTATAGATCAGTTAAAGTGTTTTAATCTGATGATCACAAGGTGCACTTAAAGGGATAGTTCACCCAAAAATGAAAATTTAAGGCTAAATTTAAAATTTACGGCTCGTGACGATACATTGATGTGTAAAGACACGAAACGATAGGTCTGTGCAAGAAACTGAACAGCATTTATATCGGGTTTTTTTACCTCTGATTCACCGCAATGTCCGAACTGTCGGATCGCAGACTTATAAGTGCATTACCGCCACCTATCTCTCAAATGGACCATTGACACTCCTAATTGAGATTGTAGATAGAGTGTCAATGGTCCATTTGAGAGATAGGTGACGGTAATGCACTTATAAGTCTGCAATCAGCCGTAAAGCAAGAAGAAGAAGAAGACTCGTCACGCGCCAGCTGTTGAGAACGCACTCAGGACAGTTCGGACATTGCGGTGAATTAGAGGTAAAAAACAATATAAATACTGTTCAGTTTCTTGCACAGACTGGTCGTTTCATGTCTTTACAGATCAATTTATCGTCACGAGCTGCAGGGTTTAATTTGGTTTTGTTTGTGTATGTTTTTATTTACTCTCAAAGCCGTGATTCCCATTCACTTCCATTATATGACTGACAGACTCAACGGTTCGAGTTAAAAATCTTCGTTTGTGTTCTACTGAAGAAACTAAGTCACCTACATCTTGGATGCCCTGGAGGTAAGCAGATAAACATCAACTTTTCATTTTTGGGTGAAATATCCCTTTAAATTTTAAATCGTTACAGAAGGGCGAGTACCGGCCAATCAGCGTCCTCCTTTTCAAAAAACCGCTGCCAATCAGGTTGCACCTTTTCTCCAGCGGCTGGACAACAGCTGGATCAGTGTTGCCAAGTCCGCGGTTTTCCCGCGGAATTGGGCTACTTTAACACTGTTGCCACCATAGACTGTATGGTTGCCACAGGTTGTTTTTCATGTCCGCGAGTTGAAGCGACTCCAATAACATGATATTTATCCCCTGGAATGCGAATTTTAGCAAGGAAACCCCGCCAAAAAATTTATATTTCCCCCCCTGGAACACTGGGGACCCCCTCGAAACGTGATCGGGCTAATTTTGGGCTAATTTTGAGCAGCGATTGGCGGGTTTTCTTGTGAAAACCTGGCAACCCTGAGCTGGATAAACATCAACACACATGGCATGAGAAAGGCGCAAACATTTGTTAATGAAAACATTATAATGCAGAGTCATACTAATTATTACCTGTACATATCTGAGAAGATTCTTGCGATAAATAAACACACCTGTCTTGTAAAAGTAGATGAAGAGAAAAAAAAAGCAGGAAATCTCACCAGTTCATGTTTTAGACGCCGAAGGTTGCTGTCCATGTCACCGAGATCCGTTTGGTCTCCCCCCATAACTGCTGAATTACAACATTAAAATATTGTATTAACTAAAAGCAGGTTAATTCATTAAAACTTATGCTATCCGCTGAGTTCTTTGGTTTCTTCCGCCTTGGTGTGTAATGGTCAGTCGTGAGGTATGACCAGCGATGTTTGCTAATATAATATTCCTCTCGCCTCTGACACACTCCTGATTACATTCAGATGACATTACAGCCCAGCACAGGCGAGGAGTACAGTCAAGCCACTGAAGTGTATGTGGTGTCATGTAGCTTAATTCACGTTGATTTGAAGGAAAAGTTCCTGAATAGGATTTACTAACGGCTGATCGTCAACAAAACGGGTCATGCTTTCACACCCGTGGTCAGTTCATGATGAATGGAGGCTTCATGCATAACAATAGAGCTACAATTGTACAGCTTTAACTCAGATTTTAAGATTCACTCTGATTGGATATTAGAAGGGGGAAGTGCCTTAGTCCATTTACAATCTTTAAAAATATATAACAGAACTGAAATAATATAGAATTGAATTCCGGGGGCTTGATGTCCTCAAAAAGCAGCAAATGTTAAATCGTCTTAACTTGATGGGACAATAAACTTTCAGACGACATGTAATTACAGTTTGTGGCAGGGAATGTATTAGATGTGGTATTCAAAGTTTGCTTCAATTTCAACCCTACTGAAGTCAAACGTAATTTTTTATGCCTACATGTTTGCAGTTTCTATTTAAATTGCATCGCTTGTTTGTCAACCAGGTGTGTTTGTCGCCCTCTGCAGGATATTGCTGATATTTCAAGCGGCGTTTCCGTTTCTGTGCGCAAGAGGGCGACGTGATTCACTGCGCAACTCGATTTTGAAATTTATTCAGCGTCGAAGAACTGAACTTAGTCGCAATAGAAATATGGCGGCACCCGTGAAAGCAGCGCATGAGCTGCAATCCAGAACCCGGACAGAAGATGTTCTGATTAACGGGGGTGTCGAGTTCAGCTCGTTACTCCTCTCAAAACCTATGCTTGAGGGGTTATCTGCCTCTGGCTTTCACAGACCGTCCCCCATCCAGCTGAAGGCAATCCCGCTGGGAAGATGTGGACTCGGTACGAGACCCGAAAATACTCGAAAACAGCACCAAAACAAGCCTAAACCAACAGTCTTGACATGATTCACATAGCAAAACAAACTGCTCTTAAATGACAGGACTGTACTGTGACATTCAAAAATATAGTGCCTCAATGAAAACGTTGTGCCTGTATTTCATGCGCCGTTTATTGGGAAATAATGTTGTTTATTGACGTTTTCTTCTGTCCAGATCTTATTGTTCAAGCCAAGTCTGGCACAGGAAAAACCTGTGTGTTCACCACCATCGCTTTGGACTCTCTTATATTGGAAAATACAACCACACAGGTATTACTTTTTCCAATATGCAACGGAATCTAATGTAACGTTTTACTAAATAGTGTCCTATTCTATAATAATTGTAAAACGGAATAACGGAACTATGAACGTTTGAAAGACTCATCTATCTTTTGATGTTAAATATAAGCAGCTAAAACACGAGTGTGTGCCTGTTTGACTATAATGTGCCCTTCTCTTGTCCCATCAGGTGCTGGTTTTGGCCCCCACTCGGGAGATTGCAGTGCAGATTCATGCTGTTGTTATGGCTATAGGCAGTGCTATGGAGGGCTTGGAGTGTCATGTGTTCATTGGCGGCCGACCTATCAGTCAAGACAAACTGCACCTGAAGAAATGCCACATTGCCATTGGTTCACCAGGTATGAGCTAGTTGAAATTCTTTTTAGATCGATATGTTAGATTACATTTATAACTATAACTTAGTTTAGATTTGCTAACATTGCATGTTTAGATGTCTTTCTTCATGTGTAGGATTGATAATCTTCTGGCCTTATTACTACATATTTAAAGTTGATGTGTGTGTGTTTTTTTGTCATTAACATCACCAACTGGAAGTGATAAAATCATAACTTTTTTCACTGAACACTCCTCCACTCTGCCATTGATCAGTCTGTTAGATAGTCCCACCCCAAACTGAACAATTGGTTGCTGATTTGCTCTGGTCTGACTGCTCAAATAAACAGCAATGTTTGACAGTCAGTGTTCAGACTTTTTGGTAAAATCATCTAATCAATAGCTATCAGTAGCCTTTATGGAATCTGAAAGTTGACATGAAGTTAAAATTCAACCCTGTCTATTTTCCAAATGCATGGTATTGATTATGAACAATTAATTCATGTCTGCTTTCTTTTGGACCTTTTTAATCAAAATGTCTTGATTCTGTCTTCCAGTAAAAATGACAGACTTCTGTGTAGTCACATAAGTTGGACTTTCCAATCATTTAGTCTGCTTAAACTGATGATCAACTGCAAGCGTACATTCAGATCTGCCACCATCCAGTCAACATTGATGGATTGAACCAAGTCCTGCCCTGATTTATTTATTTTTTTGCCTTTTTAATATTCCGGTTCATTTGGACATACATCAGTATATGGAAGAAAATATCTGTTGCTACTTCCATTTCATCATGACTGAGTGTTTTACCAAAAAATGCTTAACATTTTTGTAATAAGCTGTTAAAATATGTCCCTTATCAAATAATTTGGCAAAGTGTGAGATTTGGCTCATCTAATTAGGAAATTGGCTGGAATAGTATTTATAACAGTAACTAGAGGTTTCTCTAATAGAGAGTTTGTGGTTTTTATTTTGTTAGGCAGTGTTGATGAAGTTTTGTTGTATTTCTAGGTCGTATTAAGCAGCTAATTGAGATGGGAGTCCTGACTACATCCTCCATTCGCTTGTTTGTTTTGGATGAGGCTGATAAGCTGCTGGAGGATGACAGCAGCAGCAGCTTTCAGGAGCAGATCAAGTAAGAGCTGAATAGGTGATTTTGATTCAGAGTTCGGTATTATAATTCAGCAGGTTTGAGTTTACTTTCTCTCTCTGTCTGTCTTAGCTGGATCTTCTCCTCTTTACCAGTGAACAAACAAATGTTGGCCCTCTCTGCCACCTACCCAGAATCTTTAGCACATAATCTGTCAAGATACATGAGAGAGCCGACGTTTGTGCGACTGAACCCGACAGACCCCGGACTTCTTGGTCAGTCTGCAGTCCTGTCTGATTTGTTGATGTATTTCTTCTTTCAAATCTGAATTGAAATGATATATTTTCTCCTCCAGGGCTGAAGCAATACTATAAAATTGTGCCGTCTCATTCATTACCTCATAAAGTCTTTGAGGAGAAGGTTCAGAGTCTCCTTGAACTCTTCAGCAAAATCCCATTTAACCAAGCGCTGGTATTCTCAAACCTCCATACAAGGCAAGAGCTGACACACCTTTCAATTATTCTGAAAACATGCTGGTGTGTGCAATAAGAGTAACAGATACTATTACAGCACCGCTCATTATTATTCAAAGACTTTTATTAAGAAAAGAATTGTGATCTTTATTGAAAGTAATGAAAGACTGAGTTGATCTGTTGTTCTGCAGAGCTCAGCACCTGGCTGATATCCTCTCTTCTAAAGGTTTGCCTGCGGTCTGCATCTCAGGTGAGCTTCACCTTGGATCTCTTTTAAAACTTAGTGAATGGCCTTGCTGTATATTGAACAGACGTTTACTTTATGGCAGCTTTCTAATGGTAAGTAAATGATTTGTAATGATGAGCATATTAAAAACACTGCTTTGTCACTCAGAAACATTTACAAATCCTTTGTTCCCAATTAGTGCTTTGTTGCATCATACTTTTGAAACTTTGTAAAATGTCAGCGGTTTGATTCTGTGGGTTTGATCTCAAGTGAATGAAGGAGTATTAAATGTATGGTTGTAACTGATCTCGATATAGTTTAAGTACACGAAAGGTCATTAATTTTTTAATTCAATTTTTTTTTTTTTTCATTTTTAAAATATCTTCTTCAAAAATAAGATTACAAAAGATTTGAAGGTTTTTCTTAAAATTCTGTCCATAAAAAGAAAAAGAAAAGTACTACAACAAAGTAATAATAGATTACATAAGGGCCATTCACACAGAACATGTAGACTGAAAAAAAAAAAACCCCTGCAAGGTCTCGAGATGTTTTTAAAAAGTTTAACTTTTAACTTAAGTGCCATTAAAATTTTAGAGGAAAAAAAAATTCTGAATTTAATGAAGATAAGATTGTTTATAAATTTATAATAACATTTCACAACTCCTTGCATTGCAGTCTAGAATGGCCTTCTCCATGAAGGATATATGCAATGCCGCTTGACTTCAAATAAAAGAAGGCATCTCATCATGGAAGATATATTCCATGATTAGGTTGCCTACCTTTTGATACTGAGTGTGTGCATATAATGCCTTACGATGCAGCCCCTGTTAGCAGCTCACTAGGTTTTGAATAAGAATGATATCATTTAGAATGTGGGCATTTAAATGAAGGCCCAAAATGTATGAAAGCCATTATTAATGGTTATTATGTTTAAACCCCTTGATGTGTGTTCTGCATGTAGGTGGTTTAAGTCAGGATCAGAGGTTAGAGGCGATGTGGAAGCTGAAACAGTATCAGTGTCGAGTTTTAATATCCACTGATCTGGTGAGACTCTGAACCTATTATAACACCTACACTGGAAAATACCCAACGTTTAATACCCAAACAACATTTAATTTGTTATAAATCTCTCTTCTACAGACCTCACGTGGTATTGATGCTGAGAAGGTGAACTTGGTGATTAATCTGGATGTTCCTCAGGACTGGGAGACCTACATGCACCGTATTGGTCGTGCCGGACGATTTGGTGTGTCCAATTATAAAACAATTAAGCACCAATATATGTGAAGCCTCTACTCTGTGGGTTTGAATTAATGTGTGTCTTGGGCATTTACATGAGAGTGCTTAATCAGAGATCATCTGCTCTGAGACAGGTCAGAGTCTGAAAGGGCAACTACAGCAAGCAGTTTCATAATTAGCTGCTAAACACAAACTCATCAAGAGCTTTTTAATGACCGCAGCACTCCAAAATCAGAATTCATAATTGGAACTTGAGCGTGTTGTTGTGGACGAATTTAATCTTCATTCTCATTAGAATTCTAGAAATGGATACGATCAGCAGTTTTTCCTCTGACCGTGGCCTCTGTCTGTCTGTTGTGTTTCAGGCACTCTGGGGGTTGCTGTGACCTACTGTTGCCGTGGAGAGGAGGAGAACAAAATGATGGCCATCGCTCAGAAATGTTCTCTGAATCTCATTCATTTACCAGGTACTTCTAAAAGTAGAAGAATATTCCCGGTTCTGTGCCAGCTAAACTCGACAGCATTTATGGCATAATGGTGAAAAAAATAAAAGCAAAAATGTAGGAAACAGTGATGCACTCACAATGGAAGTGAGTAGGGCTAGTCTGTAAAGTCACTAAAATATAATACAAATATAAATTAAAGGAGTCATCAGATGCCCATTTTTCACAAGTTGATATGATTCTTTAGGGTCTTAATGAAAAGTCTATAACATATTTTGGTTAAAATTATTTCTCTATGGTAGTGTAAAACAACACCCTTTTTACCTTCACAGCGACCTGTTTCGGTGCATGTCCCTTTAAATGCTAATGAGCTCTGCTCACCCCGCCCCTCTCTAGACAAGCAATTCTCTAGACTGTTAACTTTAGCCGCATTCGTCACAGAACTTGCTAACTAGCATATTATTAGGAAAGGCGGTTTGTAAAGATTCATAAAAAAAAAAAAGTATACTCACTTTTTCTGTAGGTGAAGCTGGATCACGAATGATTCGCACGAACATAGACACATTTATGTAGATCGGGGGCACATTCCCTTAAAAAAAATTAAAGTAATCCACTGCATCTTCAGCGGCTCAGATGTCGGGAGTAAATGACGACTGCTGTGTTCATTATTACATCCAACAACAAAACACCTCAATCGCTTAGGAGACATTCTTGTCTACACCTGCTCCAACGTCGAAACAAAGGCACTCAGGGCGGGTCTGTGCTAAAATGTCAATGTCAGTCAACAATCATGGGAGGGGCGTTGGCCTGTGTGACGTCACACAGCCAAGAATCTGAATGGCTTGATCTGAGAATGGGGTTATTATTTATGGGGATTTAAAAAAAAAAAGGCACTGGGTGGATTTTTATCATGATAGGGTGGTTGTGTACACATACTGCCAACACATTTCAGTTCAAACAACATGTAAAAGTGAATTTTGCATCCGATGACCTCTTTAAAAAATGAAATGTATATAAATGTATACAAATTTATATAAAAAAAGTGTAAATAAAATAAAATTCATATATAAATATACACTAAAATACTAACTAAAACATAGTCACACTCACAACAAGACATATGTGTTGGTTAAACTTGATTTTGGTGTAAAAAAAAATTACTTACAGATTACTTTTGCATCCCCCAAGAATCTTTTTGATTTAAATAATATGAGGTGGGGGGCTATGTTTCAGTGCTTTTGCAAGTGAACACATAACTTTTGAGAGAATGCAAAGTTTCTCAGATGAACTCAATACTTTGGCGAGAAAATACAAAATATATTTTTTTGCATCATGTCCCAAAGTATACTTTGGCTGCCTGTGTTCTGCGACGGTCTGCACGCTGTCCTTGTGATTTAATTTTCGTCATCAGGAATGTCCCCGGATGTCCAGAAAAGAAGTATATCCTATCCTGGCCTTGAGTGGGCTTTTCCTCTGATGTTAACTTTGTTGCCATGGCAACACAATACTGTGAACCCTAAAATGGCTGTAAAAATGAATAAAGTTCTGGTTGAACTTTCATTGAACCTGGAATGTTCCTTTAACTTGGCATGAAGGATGTTAAGCATGTTTCTTTACCTTGTGTTACAGATCCAATCCCTCCAGGGATCATGGATGAGGCTTGTGACTGGGATGTGATAATTGAACCACCTTCAAAACCCACTCCGAAAATTCCTGACATTCCCAAACCAGAGACGAAGAAACAAGCTAAATCTGAAAAGCTGACATCGAAACCCTCCAGAGAGCCTCACATCTCGACGGTCATCCCAGAAAGGACAACAGGTGATAAATCCTACAGTGGAGCTGAAACCAAGGTTAAAAAGCACTCACCCAAACCTGGGAGGCAAAAACCAATACAGTCTGCTACAAACCTCCAGCATGACTCGACTCTTACTCAGAATGAACAGAATGACACCCTTCCCAGAATTCCTCCACTATCGTCTTTTAAGTTGCATGCACGAAAAGCTATGACTTTCAATGAGGCTGTGGCAGATTATGAGAATTTCATAACAGAAGGTCCGGGAAGATCTGTCGAAATCATTCGCCAATATGACGGATTCAACAGGAGTCGAGATGTAGTTAATGGACTGCATAATGGCCATGCTGATGATGATGGGGATGATAATGATAAGGCTTATAAATCATATGCTCCAGAAGAATCGCACTCCCATCAAGATCTTCCTCCACCACAAGAGTTTTCAGAGTTGTCCTCTGAGCAGAAGACTCTTTCTGTGTTATCTGATGATTCTTCTTCAGAGTGTGAGATGGAGGAGGAAAGTGAACCAAGCTCTTCTGTCCCCACTCGGTCTTCACATCACACACCTGCTCTTCCAGACAAAAGAGTATCAGAATTGAAAGAATCCTCTTTACCTTCAGCCAGAGGATCACAACAGACTAGCAGAAGCAAGCAAAGGCCTAGTAAACCTCAATGCCAGAATCCTGCTAACCACCACAGCCTTTCCCAGAAACACCAGCCGGCTTCCAGCAGGAAGGCTGCCTCGGCAGGACAGAAGGGGAGAAAAAGAGAGACTGATGAACTGGAAGAGGAAGTGGCCGGGGAGGATTATTGGAGTTCATACAGAGCCTGGGTTGAATATTACAATTCATATTATAACCGCTCACCCTACAACTGGAAGACTGCATTTTATATGAATTCTGTCTACATAAAAGAAATGATGAAGCACTAAAAAGGTTGCCAAGCATATGACTTTTGAGTTTGGTAATGTTCTCATTTGCATTGTGTATGTTGTTCTCTAATAAAAAAAAATTATTCTTAAAATGTTATGTGCAATCATTGGAGATATTTTGTCACAGCATACTGCAGTTTTATTAAAATATCTGAAACTATCATTATGAGAACATAATGAACATTTTACATAAACATCTCATATGGAAACAAAACCTTCAGTGTTTTTCGCAATCAGAGAATCCACGCCCACTAATCTGAGCATCCTGCTGGATAATAGCACTGATGAGCAGAAATAAATCAGTGCTCTCCTAATCAACCGAAGACCTCCAGAACAAGCGAAATACTAAGTGATAACAAGAATAAAAGCTAGGTGACCTTTCAAGAGTAGTTCACGAAAAGACAAGGACCTTTGAGCTGTTTAGCCATGATTAGTACTTGGCTCTCTGGAATACTTGATACTGATTGGTCAATTACGGAAGCCCATCATTTCTGTAATAATAATTATATACAATATGTTATATATATTAATAAAAATGTTATGTATAATAAACAAATGTTTAAATAAATGTTTGAAAGAATAATGACCAAGGTACCCTTACGAAAAAGAAGTTTATTCAAGTGTGCTATTAGTATACTTCTTTTAAACTAAAAATAGGAAAGTATACTTTTAGTCTACTTTTTATGTACTTCTCAGAAATGGGCTTTATGTACTTCTCAGAAATATACTTAAAATGACATTTAAGTATACTTGACATACTTAGAAAAAGTCTAAATATATTTTAGCTATACTTGTGCTCCTAGAATCCATGTTTTCATTGTTATACTGTAGGGGGCGCTAGTACACATCTTCTGTACAGAATTTCCAAAAAACACAAGTGAAGAGGAAACCGAAACCACAGATGCTTCCACATGTATTCTAACACGATCATCTGACATAAAACAGTATCAAAACTATGTAACATTATGGAATAAAATGTCGACCAATGAAGAGGTAATAATGACTGTCAAGCTTTGGGGTGTTGATCGACTTTATCTACGTTTTGATTATCATTCTGAATCCAATTCATAGTCTTTTTTCAGCTTTTTGTTCAAAATCTTGTTTATTTCATTATTTTTTTATTTATAAAACTTACCCACATTCAAGTGTTTAAAAAAAGAATGCATGAAGCTAGAATAAAATGTTTTTGTTTACAAGCAGATACCCTGTTCTTTTGAAGTTTTGTATGTTCAGATATTCATGTAACAAAATATATACAAATTAATACCTAAATAGGGACATAGTAGTATATTTAAAGTATGATGTAAAGTTCACTTAAAGAAAACTTACGAGTATACTTGCAGTATAAAACTACTAAACTAGTAGTTTACTGAGACTATACTTCAAAGTGTACTAACAATGCTACTACAAGTATTTTAGTAAACTATCAGTATACCTATAAGTTCACTTTTAGTATAGTTGCAGTACAAACTAAACATTTTGATGTAAACTAGTTGTGTACTCAAAGTTTACTACTGTTATACTTAAAGTATACTTAAAAGTATACTTTTATATACTAGAAAGTGGGCCAATTTAGTCCCAAGGAGTATTGAAATAGTACACTTACAAGTATACTACTAGTACACTGATATTTGTATACTTACTACATAAAGTATACTTAAAAATATACTTGAACTTTACTTAAGTTTAAGTAACTTAACTTAACTTTACTTAAGACCCTTTTTGGTAAGGGTAGTCCTCTTAGGCCTATTTTTCCCCAAATATATTTGTGTTCGCGTTCTGTCTCCGTTCGGTCTCTCTTGTAAACTTATAAAATAATTTAACCATTAAATATTTATGTCAACTCAAATTAGTCTTTTATGTTCATTTATTTATTTGGTAAGCAGATGAGTAATTTGTCAGTCGGTCTAGTTCAGCGTTTTTTGGAAAAGGGTTTTCTTCTCACATAATTTCAACTCAAATGAAGAGGTTTTTTTTTTGTAAGTGTTTATGTATTTTTTTTAGTAAGTAGCCGTGTAATAAAAACACGTGAACCGGCCATTTTCGCAAAGACAAACTCCTTGTGAGTAATACAAGACCCTTATACCTCATAACAGCCTCACATGCTCTTGTGCAAATTGTTGCTTTATATGAAATTATTGCTGATGAGATGGGGGAATAAGTGGAGTGGGGTGGGGTGGGGTGGGGTGGGGGTCAGAAGAGTCTTAAACCACTTCAACCCCCAAACTGCAACTGTAACGAACATGCAGGGCAGTCAGACATGTAATTGTTGAGTCATACGCAGGTTTATGCGGTGGGAAATATAACACCTGTGACCCCAACATACTGGAATTAACCATCCAGCACGCGCTTTCTGATCTTTAATTAATTTCTCCTCAGTTTGACGTTTTTAATCGGAACCTCAGGAAACGTGCTGGTTTTCTGCGCTGTTCTCAGAAGCAGAAGTTTGCAGACATCCAACAACGCGTTGCTGCTGAATTTATCCGCTGTGGCTCTTTTCAGATGTTGTTTAGATTCACCGGTGTTTTTATTGACTTTAATCGTGGGAGATTCGGTTGGACATTTGCCGTGTTGCATTCAGCAGTTCACGTTCTCTCTGTGCAGCTGTGTGCAGTTTCTGACACTCGTGCTCATAAGTGTGGAGAGATTCTTGGCCATCGCCTTTCCCTTCAAGAAGAGGACCGAGAAAATGGGGATATGGATATTGTTCATCTGGGTGTGTGGGATTTTCATCGCAGTTCTGTCTCTGGTTATGTGTGATAATTCCTGTTACGTGATGTGCCAGCATTTACAGAAATCGCTAGGGTCACGCACGGACCCCTTTGGTGTGTACGTGCTGTTTCCCATCTGGGGCTTGTTTCTGATACTGATAATCATTCACTATTTCCGCATCTTTTTTGTTGTGAGACAGCATACCAACAAAATCACTGACACAGGTGTTCAGTTTAGACCTTACTTTGGAAAGCATCTTCCTCGTTGGGACCGCGAGGCGTCTTCAGCAGCCGCGCTCCAACAGAAAACCCACAGCGCCTCTGTCACAGATCTGTTGAGAAGCGCAGAGAATGCGGTGTGTTTTCTGACCCCAGCGGCCCGCGAGCTGGGCAAGAAGAGGCTCGAGGGCCGCGTGGCGAAGAGATTTGGCTACATCATAATCACAGCCACTGTGTTCTGGGCTCCGCTGTTTATCATCCTCGTGCTGAACATGTACGAGGACTTCAGACAGAATCAAGTGAGAACTGCTTCTTTTTTATCTAATGACAAAACTAGGCTACTTTTTTTTACTTGCTTAGGCCTATTTATTTATTTGTCTGGTTTCTTGTTAGTTAGTCTTAGAAAATAAATAAAAACTTTTATTAATAACGGATAGGCCTACTAAAAGTTAAATTGTCCACATTCATTTATATAGGCAACAGGATATAGGCAGTGGTGTAGTGGAGGGTATACGCAGGTATACGGCGTATACCCACTTCTTTATCAGTCGGCTTTGCGTATACCCACTTCTAAATCCCCTCTGATGCGCATCATTCAGTAGTGTCCCGCATTAGACAAAATCATGACAGTCCACCATGACTAGCTAATCAAATCGCATGTCAATAAATGCATTAAATATTCCCTAAACATACCCAGTAAAGACAGTGATGCGGTCAGGAGGATGCGCCAGCGTCTCTTTAAATTTGATTGATGATTGCGCCCACGCCCGCCTCTCATCTCGACAAATCACGTGAATGCAAGCGGAGTCGGTCTGGGGCGTGAGTGCATGTCAGGGAGGCGCGCAGAGAAATAAAATAATATTTAATAATTGACTCCTAATTTGAATCTGTACATTATAACGAAAACAATACCTTAAAAATGAAAAGAAGCAAGTTTTTGCAATCAGATTTTTTTTAAACCGGTAAACTTTTCAGTTCAAGGATCCAGTAAACGAATGCCTTCAAACAGTAGCCTAAGTTCAAAACAGCTACAGAGAAAACCCGACCGATTTCATCAGAGATTGCTTAGAGTCAGGCCCGGACTGGCCATCGTGCGCACCGGGAGAATTCCCGGTGGCCTGGCGACTAATTTGGCCCGCTGCCCTGTTTTTTTATTTTTTGTAGTTATATTATTATTATTAATAATATTTTATATTTATGCCTTCTCAATGAACCGAAGTGATCATTACCGATTTTGTCATTGATAATAAATCGATAATAAATCATAAATCGGTTAGTCTTGACTATCAGCACTGCGCTACACGAATCGGCTCACGTGTGTTCCGCGCTTCCGTCAAACGATTCCGAACAGAACCGATGCGCGGGACTCGATGAAAGAGAGAAAACGGCCCGAAGAAGCAGTGAAATGTAGCAACATCACTGACCTGTTCAGGGCTTCAAGTGCAGGTCAGTTCCATCTGTAAATACGCTAGATAGTTTTGTATAGCCAACAATACATTGTATGGGTCAAAATCATCGATTTTTATCTTATGCCAAAAATCATTAGTATATTAAGTAAAGATCATATTCCATGAATATATTTTATAAATTTCCTACCGTAAATATATCAAAACTTAATTTTTGTTTAATAATATGCATTGCTAAGAACTTCAGTTAGACAACTTTAAAGGCGATTTTCTCAATATTTAGATTTTTTTGCACCCTCAGATTCCAGACAAATAGTTGAATTTCAGCCAAATATCGTCCTGTCATAACAAACCATACATCAATGGAAAGCTTATTTATTTAGCTGTAGCCTATATGTATTTAGATGTGTATATATCTATATAGATATAGCCTCTCTCTCTCTCTCTCTCTCTCTCTCTCTATCTATCTATCTGTGTGTGTGTGTGTGTGTGTTTATTTATTTGGGATGAAATTGTTACCCCGAATAAAACTGTTTAAGATGATCCTATACAGATGAAGTTCACTTGTCCACATTTTGAGTGATTGGTTGATTTAAAAATTTTCCTTAAAATAAAGGTGACTTGACTGTTGACATGACTTGTTGTTATGCTAAATAATATAGTTTCCCTAAAAAGATTTAATTAGAAAACATAAGTATTTCAAAGAAGTCGAACTGTCCAATATTTTCAGGTTCTGTCTGAAATTCTTAGCTACTCTAAAAATATAATTTTCATCAGGATTTTGTTTTTTTTTTAAATGTAAATTTTTTCCAAATTTTGGAGCTCTCTGTAATATTTTCTCTTTCTTTTAAATCCCTTTGATTGTGTGTGTGTGTGTGTGTGTGTGTGCGTGAGAGAGAAAGAGAGAACTGAGAACATGTTCTTGTTCATTCACTGTGTCCATCGGTATGTGTTTGTAGCGCTGGCTGCTGCGCGCTGGTTGTGACGTGTGTTCCTGCAGCAGTGGAGCCGCTCATTTACAGGCTGCTCCATCGACAGCTGCGCTCACAACTCCTCAAACTCCTGCCCAACACACTCATCAAAAACAGCTGACTGATGGACAGAAGCAACTTCAAACGTGTGTTCTTTTTTAATCGTGATACAGGTGATTCATTTGTAATGTTAGTGAGATGTGTAGTAAAACTAATAGGTAGGCTATATAATTTGAATGTACATACTTATATGTTAAAAGGTGCAGTGTGTAAAGTTTAGCGGCATCTAGTGGTGAGGTTGCGAATTGCAACCAACGGCTCAGTCCCCCGCTCACCCCTCCCTTTAGAGAAGCTACGGTGGCCTACACAGGTAAAGATGTTGTCGGTAAAGACAGCAGAGAGCAATGATATTTCTTTACAAAGGTAAATTAAGGAATTATATTTACTTAATCATTCAATAAATCGATGTTATTGCGAATGTTAATGTACTTGTGCATCATTGTGTCAGTGTATTATTGGCAATAACAACAAAGTGAGGAAACGCTCTGTAGAGCAGTTTGTCCGTTTAGGGCAATTGTAGAAACATTGTGGCGACTTCCATGTAAGGGGACCCGCGGTGTATGTAGATAGAAATTGCTCAATCTAAGGTAATAAAAACATAACGGTTAATTAAGTAAGGTCTTTATACACATCTGAAAACACAGTTATGTATATTATATTGCATTTCTGTCAATAGATCGTTGTAAATATTACACATTGCACCTTTAAGCACCACATAATCTGTGACTACTTTGTCAACTTGATGAATTTTTAATATAAAGTGTTACTTAAAGGCAAGATAAATGAAACGTAGCTTATAAATGGATAGTTGACCCGAAAATGAAAATTTGATCATCAACTCACCCCATGGATAAAATATTTAGAGAAATGTCTTCACTGTTTTTTTCCCTCGAAGAATGTAGGTTAATGGTAATCAAAAATGTATGGTTACCAACATAATCTTCAAAATATCTTCTTTTTCCACAGAAGAAGGAAAGTCATACAGTTTTGGAATGACATGAGGGTGAGTAAATGATGACAGAATTGTCATTTTTGGGTGAAGTATCGCTTTTAGGGTTTCTGATTTACAAGGCTTGATAACCTTAAGAACACAATATAAATCTTCCATGAATCTATAAACTTTAAACTGCATTGCAAAATGTTAGTCAGCATATAAAGTAAATATAAACAGATTTAGATGAAAATATCATTTGAATAAAGCCTAAGAGGTTTTCCTAATGGTTTTTCCTACCCATAATGTAGGTCCAGAATGGAGGGTAATTGTTACAAATGTCCCCCCCAAATAACATAAAATAAAAATAAAACTCTCAGATTAATGCTACCAGAGCTGCATGTGGCTAATGTTAATAATACAAAATCCAAAGTGACAAAATGGTATTGTGGCAAATAATGTTTTTAAATGATGCTTTGATATTGAATGATTTATATGAGATGCTCAGATAAATTCACGTTTATGATGGAGTCTGAAAGGCCCAGCTGCAGCTTGTTTCTGTATCCCGCCTGACTTATCTATTTGTTGTGATGTCATATCTATACTTTATTTCATCTCCAGAATATTGTTATGAGTTTGTGATTTCATCATTAAACTGCTGTTAGATTGTGGTTCAGCATTGTTGAAGGAACTGAATAAACAGCAGATGTATTTGTGGCAGATACAATTCATTTATCAGGCGTTTCACAACTGTGACACAAGACAAGATCATAAATAATATTTAACATCTGACAGTGAACAGGAATCTGCTGCATAGAACAACAAGACTATCTCAAAAAAAAAAAAGAAGCGAAAGAGTAAAAGAGTTAAACAAGCACAGACACACAGAGGAAGAAAGAAGACCCTCAACAGGTATGTAGATGCGCACATACAGATCTCCACTTGGTAATATATTCAAAACAACCAATTCTGTCATCTGAAGGAACTGCACAAATTAATTATTACAAAGCTGTTAGGATTCTAGAGTCACTTCTATTACATGATGGTTCTGTAGTGTCCCCTGCTGGGCTGGAAGTAAAGACAAAGCAAAAGAAAAACTCCAACACATTACTGCTCGCCAATGACCACAGGTGATCCAATACTCAACATTTATTATCTTAAAATTTAGAATATATTGGCCACACCTTCTCCTCCTATTAATTAAACATTAGATCATTTCCATATTTCCCATCTATTATGTACACATGAAAATCAATAAATCACAAAGGGACCAAACATCATTTGGACCATAAAATCGGATCATTAGAGATTTGCTATGGATTATATGTACAACAAACAGGAAGATAATCATCATATGAACACATGGGCCATCAAAGAACATTTTGGTAAGAACGGTGTGGGCCGGATACCCTGATATTCCTAAATGTCACTATGTGCTTTTCCCTGTAATACTGGTGTCATGTCTAACTCATGTTTGTGTGACTGGACATCCACTTCGGCTTTAAAGTTCAAGTATAGGCTATGCATCTGTTATGCAATTATTTAATCGTATTTTTCTTTCTGGAAAATATGGCTTATTCTATCTAAAAAGGGCCAAAACAAGATTAAATATATTAATATGAGGTGTAGTGTGTGTTTCATTGCACTGAACACTAAAACTGGCCCTGGAGCAATAACGTCCTGAGGGGAGGGAGGGAGGGAGGGGGCACTTTCTATGTATGCTGGTGTAAGAGGCACAAGTGAGTGGGGTTTAAGGAGATGGGTGGGGTTTAGAGTCCTGGGACGGGGGTTATGGTACAAAAGGTGGAGCTCAGGGGATCATGCGGTTGATTGCTGGCAGTGAAACGTCACAGACGAAACGGACTTTCCACTAATGACCACAAGTTTTCTCATTGGCAATGCCGTTCTTGTGAACATGGCTGACAAATAAGGACAAAGACAGAAAAGGAGGGAGAGAAAAGAGGTGGAGAATATCTCTAATCGATTCGTACGGTTGACAGTTTCTCCTCTAACAGCAACGTATGACTGGAAATCTAGTTAACAAAAACATTCACTGTTAATGAAAAACACAAACATCAAAAGTTTCCTACCCATGTAGTTTTACGCAAACTAGACAAATTTGTTAAATACCCATTGAGCGATAATGACAATAACACTTAGATCAGAACAACTACAGGAAGCAGGCCAGCAGTGGACAGAGGAAAGGGGCGGGGCAGACATAAAAGGGCGGAGTGGACAAAAAGGGGGCAGGGTAGGCAGCTGCTCTGGTTTCGCCAAACAATGGCTAAATATTACAAAATATGCTATCAACAATATTCACAGTTAAACCAAGGCTTGATACACATTGTAATCACAAAATCTCAGCGATGCCTTGTGCTTGTAGTCACAGAGTTTTTAAAAACACTTTCATGTTTCTTTCTCTCTCTCTTTTTGTTTTTGGTTCTATATTACATAGTAATGTCTGATAGGTCACAACTAACTTTACAAAGTCGGCTCAACGTTTTGGACTCGGGGAGAGACAGTGGCTTAAAGAAGAAGGAAACTCTCCTCCCCCTGAGAGGCACGAACTGTGTGAGAGGCTGAGAGTTTGAGGGACGATTCAGTAATTCT